CACCTTACTAAGAACTAGGAGGTCTGAGCTGTGGCCTTCCTAGTGGACATTTAGGCCTGTAAGTCCACCTCCTGTTTCCCTGTATTTCAAAAGAGTCGAAGATAGACATTGGTAAAGGAAAATGGATTTTTTTCCAGGTTGTCTAAACTAGGGAGAGAAAGACTCCTAGTTCCTGTGTTATACTTTGGGTTTCTTTCTGTTGGAGCTGAAAAAAACATTCAGAGGTCTGAGCAGAACTCTCTGTCTAGCCCTGGCACTCTCTCAGAAGACCCACAGGAACATACCGAGTCCCCACTCCTCTGTGAATCCCTGCCAGGGAGGAATCTGGTGGAGGGTGCGTCTATGAAGGCCTGAGTGTAAGGAGGTATCCACAGCGTGGCGCTGAAGTCACAAAGGGCCCATGTCAGTGGTGGGAAAACCTCAGTAATGGAAGGGAGGCAAAGTGCCCGTGTGTGTGTGTGTGTGTGTGTGTGTGTGTGTGTGTGTATGTGTGTGCGCGCGCGCGTGTGTGTGCGTGTGTGTGCGTGTGTGTGCGTGTGTGTGCGTGTGTGTGTGCGTGTGTGTGCGTGTGTGTGCGTGTGTGTGCGTGTGTGTGTGTGTGCGTGCGTGTGTGTGTGTGTGTGTGTGTGTGTGTGTGTGTGTGTGTGTGTGTTGTATTCTCCTCAGCAGGAATTATGTCATACAGTTTCAAAATCCCAGATGTTTGTTCATGCTCCTCACAGGCCACCATAGACATAAGTGGCATTTGGGACTCTCTGGTGCACTCTACTGTATGGGACAAATAACTTAGCCATCAGTCTGAACACTCAAGATGTGAGGACTCAAACCCCAGTGCACTGTGATTCTGTGTCTAAGGAGAGTGGGGTGGAGGTGAGGGGAGGAAGAGACAGATATGATCTTGTTTAGACCAGGACTCTGTGCCCACATGTCTGCAGTCAGGCAGCCTAGACAGATGGGACTGTGGGGATAACCTGTAGGAAGCCCATGATAGAAGCTGTTGTCTGGAATCCACGAAGCCCTTTGCCACCTCATGGGGTACTCTACTTTGCTAAGGGAGGCCCAGCCCATATTCTTGGTGCATACGTGTATCTCAGAGATGCTATGACAGGCTGTTCACTCTTTCTTGGAGACCAAGATTTCACCCTGAAGTGTTTGGAAACTTGTTTCAGAATGCTTAAACATGGTTCTGAGCGGAATCTGTAGAGCAATTCTTGGACTCTTCCCTGGCCTCATCTGATGGCATGACTGGTTGCCAGATGAGAACCTTGCATTGTGTCAGGTGTATGGAGAACCATGGTGAGCTCCCAATTCGAAGACCCACTCTGCTCTCAGGACTCGTGGCCCAGGGAGTCTGTGAATTCCTGGGTGGAGACTCACTTTTGTTGGGAACCTAGCAAAGCCCCAACTGGCTGTACAGCACAGCATGAGGCCAGGACCCATCTGAGGTGCTGTTATGTTGGAGGCTCAGAGCCTACAGTGTCCTTATGCTGGAAGCTCAAGGCAGGAGCTGTGGGACTTCTCTAGGAATCTGAGTCCTTGATGCCTTGAAGCTTGGAATTTGATCTTGACTACTAAGCAACACTAAATGAGGATACTAATACTGTCTTGAACACAAACATTCCCATGAACTCCTCAGTCTATGATGAAGGATCTTCCTGTGTCAGCAGGACACCAGGGCTCATGGTGTAGGAGGGCAAGAGCTGCTCTCATCTCTCTCCTGTGCTCAAGGATGGCTGAAAGATGACCAACTATGAGGGCAGCCCCTTCCCACTGGAGCAGGAAGTCACTTTCAATGCTTGTCTGAAGAAGAGGCTACTGCCTGTCTAGTGCTTTGGGGTTATAATGCTATACTTCCTGCTGCAGGGATGGGCCAACTTCACCCCAGGCCGGCCCTACCCTAAGATCTAGGTCACTGGCTTCTACATCACCAGCGTGCATAGCTCATGGGTTCTGACGAGCTCAGGTTATGGTGGAGAATGAGCAAACACGTGATCAAGCACAGCCTTATAGTTTTACATGAGGGCCATGGCTGTAGTCCCAGGTTGTGGCTCATAGCTCTTACACACGTGGAGAGCACTGCTGGTCAAGGGGTGTTGGGGCAGGAGCCCTCTGAGTGGAGCTCCCATACAGCAGTAACATGGATTTTCTGTGTAGCTCCCCTTAGGTGGCCCAGCACTCTTGTCATAGTTAGGGTTTCTATTGCTGTGAAGAGACACCATGACTATGGTAACTCTTTTATCTATCTATCTATCTATCTATCTATCTATCTATCTATCAATCATCTGCAATGCTTATAAAGGAAAACATTTAAATTGGAGCTGGCTTACAGGTTCAGAGGTTTACAGGCAGACATGGTACTGGAGAGGTAGCTGAGTGTTGTACACTTGGATCAGCAGGCAGTGGGAAGAGAGAATGAGCCACTGGGCCTGGCTTGAGTTTCTGAAACTCCAAAGCCCACTCCCCAGTGACATACTTCCTCTAATAAGGACACACCTCCAATAATGCCAAGCCCTATGAGTCTGTGGCGGACATTTTCATCCAAACCACCACAGTTCTAAAGCCTATAGAGGTACCAATGACATGGTCTGTGGAGGATGAACACATATAGGATCGGGGGTGAGTGCTAAGTGAGTACTGGACATGCCAGGCTGCACCCAGTTCAGGTAGCTCTGTTGGGTCTGCAAGTCTGGGCTGAGGCTGGAGCCTAGAGATACCACAGAGGCCACAAAACAGAGTCAAGGTGTGCGCTTGACTATGGGTAAGACCCTTCCCCTCTCTCTGTGACATCACACGAGAGTGGCACCTAAGGGACTCCATAGTCTGGCTGTTTTCTTATTCGATTTCCTTATTGTTGGACATTTAATGTGTCCTCTTCTTTCTACAGCTGCCTTGAGTCCTTTCAAGAACCCAGAAGAACTTTCCGATTTGTTAGTCCTATGGAGATGGCTGGTTCATGCTCCCACTAGGTGCCACGGAGGGAGCAGGCATGCAAGTCTACAGGTGTCTGAGGTGGTTCTCCTGCGGTTCTACTTGTGATGGGAAGTGTCTTAGATACCATCCTGTTGCTGTGAAGAAACACCATGACCAAGGCAAAAGTATTTAATTGGGGCTTTGCCCCCACTTTCAGGGGTTTAGCCCATTTTCATCGTGGCAAGGAGCACGGACGGCAGCATGCAGGTGTGGTCCTGGAGAAGTAGCTGAGAGCTCCTTCCTCATCACAGGCCAAGAGAGAGACGCTGGGCATGGAATAGGCTTCGAAACCTCAGAACCCACCCCAGGGACACACTTGCTTCAACAAGGCCACATCTCCTGATCCTTCTAACCCTTTCAAATAGTGTCAGTCCCCGGTGACTAATCGTTAAAATAGTTGAGCCTATGAAGGCCATTCTTATTCAGAGCACCACAGGAAGCCTGTGACTTTGTAGTCTTCCGGTCTAGGTCAGGATCAATCTTTGGACCCTTCTTACTGTGGGGAAGTCTCACTGACCAGGGAGGGAGCCCTGTTCAGTTGGTGGAGCCCGCAGACACTAAGAGAGGGCTCCACAGTTGTTTTAGTTATGCAGGAACTACCGATATCAGATAGATTTCAGGCTACGGGAGGAAGGGCCCAGCAAGGCAGCATCCCTTCACTCAGGTCTCCCCACAGAGGGCATTACGCATCGTGTAAACAAGAAGCTGGCTGCCCAGAGCTGTCAAACATCTGTATTTTGAGCCACACACATGCTCACCTAAGAAAATATAATTATAGAGAAGACTCCGTGGCAGCTCGCTTGGCATGCGTGGTGTCACTCCACTCAGCGTTCCCAGTGTAATTAGCATGAGTGCGCGAGGAGCCTAAACCGCTGCTAAATTAAGCCATCGTGGTGGAGTGTGCGGGACCCACATTAACCTCACCACAATGGGAGGTGCAGGCATTGCCTGGAAGCTCAGAGTGAAGCTGGAGCCACACACACAGATGTCTACACTGACACCTGGTACATGTGGGGAGCCAAAGCCCTGTGTGAAATTAGTCACGGTGATATGACACCAGACCTGTCCTGGTTATCAATGACTGAAATGGATTACTTGCTGATATTTTATTTTGACTTCATGGAACTTTATCTTTAAACATTCCTCATGCTCAAGGCTTAAGGGTGTTTTTATCTAAGTGAGAAGCCCGTACTCTGCCGGACTGACCTCCTCACGGTAATTCTGATTGTATTTTGACTCCCGTCTCAAGTCTCACACCTGGGGTGTCCCCACCTGTCCCGTGTCTCTTGCCTTCTCTCCTGTCTCCCATCCTGTGCTTCCCTGAATTCCACACATCAAGATCCACAGGCAATGCTGGTTTCTGGTCTGCCTCAGTTTTCACAGGAGCCCTCCACAGAGGGAGCTCGCCAGATCCCCACACTAGCCTCAGCCTGCATGCGAGGTCAGGTTGAAGGGAAATGTGAGTCTGAGGGAGCTGTCCAGTCTAACTGCATTTGGGGTTCAGGCAGTCCCTTGCTGTTCCTGAACAGTCCCTGTAGAAAACAAACACTGAGTCCCTGCCACCCCGCCCTTCGGAGTAACCATATCCAGGACCAGGGAAATTCCGGTTCTAATCCGCAGTCAACGACACCTGCACCACCTTCAGCAGAAAGAACTGCCCTGCTGGGCCCGGCGGTCAGGTTGAGTGTTCTCAGAGACAGTGTCCTACAGGGAGGGTGGAGACTGGGTGACAGGAAGTAGTGGCTGTTATGGTTGTCTGTGACACTAGAAGTGTTCCCTCTCCTGCTGTCAAGGGCCAGCCCTGGGTCAGGCCCAGGGGCCCTGGAACAAGATGACGTCACATTGGTGCCACCTCGTCTCCAGCCCTGACTGAGTTCAGAAGCCATAAAGAATTTGCCTTGGCTCAGACTTAGCAAGTTCCAGAAATGAGCTGGCTTTTCACTGCTACCTTCCATGTGTAAGTGGTTTAGACATAATTGTCAGAAATGGTTCTTACATTCAGGCCGTTAAAATCCATTAACCACAGGAAATTCTGAGCAAGCCTCAATACATCTATTTTGTGGGCATGTTTTCCACAGCAATTTTCCTTGTTTTTGCCCCAAGGCAAAAATGATCTTTTAAAAACTCCCCTTAAAGGTATTTTGAAAACAGAATGCAAAATGCAGATCTAGATAAGCCCACAAAGCAGAAATAAAAAATAGAAACTGCTGCAGCATTCTTCTTGCTTCCAGAGGCTTCTGTGACCAGTGTGTGGTGAGTCTTCGGGGTCCCGCAGGGAAGATGCCAATAGAAAGACCATGTCTGTGGCCCTTCAAGTAGAATTAGTACTTTCGGGCATGTTGATTCTGAAAGGCCAAGGAAGCTCAGGTCAACTGTGGTCATCCTGTTATTCTTCTCTGGAAGGAAAGAGAAGCAGTGAGTAGCTATCCATCTCATGGCAAGCATCCCCCAGACAGTAATCTGGAATGGTCAGGCCCCAGACCACGAAACAACCGAAGAGTAGAGGATTCTTTCTCTGTCTCTGTCTCTCTGTCTCTCTGTCTCTCTCTGTCTCTCTGTCTCTCTGTCTCTGTCTCTGTCTCTCTCTCTCTCTCTCTCTCTCTCTCTCTCGCTCTCGCTCTCTCTCTGTGTGTGTGTGAGAGTGTATGTGTGTGTGTGTGTGTTTCACAGGGAAAAGCTTTGTAGGTAATCTACCTAGATGTATGTGCCAGGCTCGACACGCCTGCTGGTCTGCTGACTCTAGCTGTACAGAATTCAAAGGCTGATGGACAAAGACGTGCTTTCCTTGGTGGCCTGCCATGTGTGATGTCTGGAGCAGCTGTAGTCATGCTGACGGTCCACCCATGAGACTTGCCTTGTTTTTCATGAGTCTCTGACATCGGAGTTGGTGGCCCCATTTCACTCCACATAGTCAAGACAGGGAACATCCTGCTGCCTGGGACAAACCCCTGCTGAGGTTGGAGGCTTGAGGCAAACATATTCAATTTGTCTGCAAAGTATATCTTCCAGCCAGCTTCATCTGATTTACATGGGAAAGCAAAATGGAGGGACCCAAAGGGCTTCCATGTTCTGTCCCGAGGCTGCTGGAGGAGAAAGCCAGGGTCTACATGCTGTGCACGTTGAGTTTGCTCTGCTTTGGGATGAGCAGCACCCATACTTGTGCTCAGGCTGGCCACACTGACTTTACCTGGGCGACCTAGAGCTTTTGGTTCCAGAACATGGCACCAGACCAGGCTAGACCTGCTCTGTTCCTGGAGGTCGCTCAAGCTGTGCAGGGCTAGATCCCAGCTGTGAACTAGAGCACAGAAGGGTATCGGATTGACAGGGAAACCTGCCCCCATGCCTACAAAAGGGGAAGGTTCTATATGAAAAAGTCTGGTAAGGTGGAGACACAGGAAGCTGGAAGAGCCAGGCAGTCGTGAAAAAAGCCAACTCTGAGCAACCAGCCTCCCTGTTTCGGCACCTGAACTGTTGGGTAAAACCCAGAGTCTGAATCAGTAGGCCAGTTCTGCAGGCTGGTGCAGACTCTTGGTGCAGACCAGTTGGTTCTCATGGGATTCCATAAGGAAAAGCTGGGCCTCCAGCACATGGTGCTGGCTGTAGGTAATGGATTGAGGGGTTCCTGCAAGCTTCATGGCCAGTAGGAAACTTGGTTCAGGGTGACTTGGTTAACCAGGCTGGATCAAACTTCTGGAGTTTGACATTAGGCAGTTTTTTTTAGCCATATTTAAGAATAGTACAATTTTGGGATAAAAGTTTCCTGGTAACAAGTACACCAATCCCATGTGCACAATAAATCTTTAAGTTGTGGCTACATTGAAACTCTTCTGCAAAGTACATTTGACGGCTACCATGAAGATGGTTCTATAGCTCAAGGGCCTAGGATCTGGTGTGCTCTTAGACTGAGGTAGCATGGCGGTCAGCCGGCTATAAAGTGCATGCGTCATCTCCCCTAGGGGTGGGTTCTGTTGCCTGAGAAACAAAACTAAGGATAAAGGTCTAGGGAGGGACAGTCTGAGGTAAGACTTCTGGGGGGTTGGATGAGGTCTGGCTCTACAGAGAGCAAAGCAAAGGTCGCCAGGTCTTTAACAGCATCTGTTCCAGCCTTCTGGGTGGAAACAGGTATCCATCTCCTCCACTGAGGAGACGACCCTGCTGACTAACATTCCTGGTTTCTCCCATGCCTGTCTGTGAGCACACATGACCTCTACAATGCGTGGGAGATAAGAGCTCATGCAAAAGATGAATTTCTCAGAATGAATCAAAGTCTTGGAATAGCCAAACTACAAAGCCAAGAAAACGGGAGTTAGACTGTATGGTCGCATGTCAGGAATTTACTTAGCAGATACACAAAGCACACATGATGAGACAAAAAAGCCAAAATTGGGCTTCTGGAAATAACTCAGCAAGTCTTGATAGGCTGGGTCACTGAACATGTCCTCTCTATCCCAAGAGCTTGGCTCCCCATCCCAGCCCCCAGTGTTACTCTAAGGAGTCCAAATCCCTCTCCCTGCCCAGTATCCTCTCTTCGTCCTGAGGGGTCTGCAGTTCATGACCAGGGGTTGTGTCCCCTTTGTCTCACTTCGGAAGGTCTGCAGGAAACCGATTTGCAGTGGGGCTGGAGGCATGTTGTTCACCAGTGACCCCAGCTTCCCTGTGGTCTCTTTTCGTCCTGGAGCTCATGGTCCATCTAGTTTTAAAACTTCCAGAAGTGCCCTTTGTTTTCCTTAAGTCTCTGGTCATGCTTTCTACCTCTCTCTGACTTTTTTATTTTTTATGTTAGAGAGTTCCTCTGTTCTTTCATCTTGTTATTCCCCTAGTCCCTTTCCAAAGCGATCACTGGTTTTGGTTTTCTTTGAGTGCCACTCTGTTCTTGTTTCATGAATATATCGTTTCTTCCATCTTTGAGTATTTTTAAAGTTTTCTACTTCCTGTAGTGGGTCTGTTTCCAGGCCATTCATGTGTGGAGAATCATACCTTTGGGGGAATATTTGGGGCACTCAAAGGCTGGTAGAACTCTGAATGATGGTGGGGACGTTGTATACCTTTATTCTGTGCCAGCTTTTCTGGAGAAAAAGCCAGCTGCATCTTGTCTGGAGAATATGAGCTTCCAGGCTTTAGGGCTAGAGCTCCTGTGGCAGCAGCCTGCCCCCTCCCCTGGACATTTTTCAGGATTGTGTCTGAGGCAGGTGGATGTTTGTAGATCTCCTCTCTGACTGAGGTTCTAGAGCAAGAGCTTTCCTCCTCTATGTCTCTCTGCATCTGGTAATCAAACTGGCCCTGGGACGTGGTTTGATTCCTTTCAAAGCTCATGCCCTGGCTTCCGGCCTGTTTGCAGAGGCCCAGTGAAGCTGAGGCTGTGCCACCCCTATGCTGAAGTGTGTCTCTGCAGGACACCCCAGCCTTGTGTGGTGGGAGTTTGGAAATCCGCAGAGCTCAGTTTCCTCTGTCTTCTCATGGCCTGTGAGAGGCTTCAGCCACCCGGACCAAAAGCCTTGAAGTGCACACGGCTGTCGGAGTCCCCGGCAGGGGCCTCCAGAGCCGTCTGGGAAGAGCATCAGCTGAGTGTCGCCGTGCAGCAGTGTGCCCTGGAGGTCAGGACACACCCCAGACCACCATGAGGGCAAGCTGGGGGCCTCTGTAGCGTACAGTTGGTTGGTTAACCAGCTACAGAGCCCCCGTTCCACAGCCTAAGGAGCAGCTATAGCAAGCGCAGTAACTCTGGCAGTTATAGGCGGGGCAACAGGTCCAAGTGTGCAGATGTAGACAGTCATGGGGGTGCAGGTACACAGGTGAGTAGTTAGTGCACATGGGGAAATAAGTCAGGTTCACGTGTGCGAAAGTTTGACAGGTACACAGACACAGCAGGATAACAGGACAGGTACAGCAGTTTGTCAGGGTTACAGATGCAGCATGACAGGCACATGCACCAAAATACGGGAGTGCACAGGTGCAGGAGTGTGACAGTGTGACAGGAGTGTGACAGCAGTGTGACAGGAGTGTGACAGGAGTGTGACAGCAGTGTGACAGGAGAGTGACAGGAGTGTGACAGCAGTGTGACAGGAGTGTGACAGCAGTGTGACAGCAGTGTGACAGCAGTGTGACAGCAGTGTGACAGCAGTGTGACAGCAGTGTGACAGGAGTGTGACAGCAGTGTGACAGGAGTGTGACAGGCGTGTGACAGGAGTGTGACAGCAGTGTGACAGGAGAGTGACAGGAGTGTGACAGGAATGTGACAGCAGTGTGACAGCAGTGTGACAGGAATGTGACAGGAGTGTGACAGCAGTGTGACAGGAGTGTGACAGGCGTGCAGCAGTGTGACAGTAGTGTGACAGCAGTGTGACAGTAGTGTGACAGCAGTGTGACAGGAATGTGACAGCAGTGTGACAGCAGTGTGACAGGAATGTGACAGGAGTGTGACAGGAATGTGACAGCAGTGTGACAGCAGTGTGACAGGAGAGTGACAGAAGTGTGACAGGAGAGTGACAGGAGTGTGACAGGAGTGTGACAGGAGAGTGACAGCAGTGTGACAGGAGTGTGACAGGAATGTGACAGCAGTGTGACAGGGGTGTGACAGGCATGTGACAGGCGTGTGACAGGCGTGCAGCAGTGTGACGTTTGGGAGTGCAGAGTGTGGGAGCTTTCCTTTTTCTCATCTGGATCTTAGGGCCACTGATCCAGTCCTGCTGCTCTGTGCGGCTGTTTCTATCCTAGGTGACTCTGCAGCAGGGCGGCCCCTCCATTTCTCTTCCCCAAGGGCTGGTGGCCGGTAGAAAAGCCTCAGGGGCCACAGTCACCGCAGTTTTCGGGCCGCATCTGTGGGGTCTCCTTCACACCTGCGGCTCTTGCATTGGTCAGAAGCAGAAGCTTGGATGTGCAGCCTGGCCCCTCAAGAGCTCGCAGGCAGCAGGGGAAGTTCAGCCCCGACCCGCTGTGAAAATGGCTCTGTGTGGAAACCACTTTGAAGGCTCGAGAAGATTTACAGAAAGGTGCAACATGCGGGGTTTTCTTCTGTGTCAAAACCATTCTTTATCCACGACCACTGGATTCATGCTGTTTTTCCTCTCCAGATGACAAGCATTCAACTGCCCATCTTCCCACAGCCCTTATTTTGGGAAACTTAGCTACCATCACCCTGTGATTATGAACAGTTCTCCGACCTAATTACAATCTGCCTCTTTGTTTCCCACCAGCTCGTCAGGCATCCGCCACACACTTGACAGCTGAGTGGAGGACGTGGGCCAGTTCCCCGCCCCAACTCCATTCTAGGGCCTCCAGGGCTGTGTCTACAAGGCTACTATTCCCACCCACTTGGCCCTGGGTCAGTTTTGCATGGAGTCCCAGGCCTTCAAGGCTGCTGTGCAGAGCTGTGCTCTCCCAGTTTAGCCCCTGGGTG